ACAAATCTATGAATCATCAATGAAACAACTCATAAGCTATCGATTGATTCACTCGTACACGCTACTTGAGCTGGCTCGATAGCCATACTGATGAGGCTAATGAGTCAACTAACGAGTTGAGCGTAACAAGCCACCGAGTTGTGCTGGCCAGGGAGCCTCGCGAACTGAAAAAAGGTTAGTTCAAACTCGTCTTGTTTGTTAACGAGCTGAGTATTGAACGAGTTTTTACTAAATTGAACATTGAGACGCTAATCGAATGTCAAGTTTTTCCTGGATTGAGTAACAAGTCACAGAGTTGAGATGGACAATGAGGCTCGCGAGATGAACAATGGTTAGCACAAACTTAACTAGTTAGTTCATGAGTTGAATATTAGACGAGTTTTTTTTAAATCGAACGTCAAGTTGCTAATAAACAAGTCGACTCATTTGTATCCTTTTGCAAATTAAGTAACCAAAAGGGTAAGAATTCATAAATACACGTAGGTAGGATTGGTGTGGGCGTGTGCATGGTGGGAAAAGTCAAGGTTGTTGTCACTCAAAACCTTTTGCTTGTTTCTTTATAAAATCTTTGGTCACACACATTCACACACCCAACATATTATCTTCTCCACTTCCATTCATTTCCATATTGATTCCTTCCTTCTTCCCTTTCTCTTTTCTTGTTTTCTTCGATCACTATCATTTTCGGGGTGTCTCTATTCGTAAGCTTATAAACAACGCATGCACAGGCTTTTCTTTTTGAGGGTTGCTTTTCAGTTTTTGTTTCTATTTTTATGACTGATATAGATTTTGGGTGGAGAACGGTTTGGTCCGGTCTAAACTTATGAAAATTATTGTTCAATAGTTAAAAACATTTTAGGAGTAAAGATCAGATCAATATTGCGTTCCGTCCGCTTTCATGCGGTGCTAATGTCACTTTAGTCTTATTTCCTTTAATATTTATAAAATTCATGAAATCAAGAATTAGACTATGTTATATTAGGTTCGGTATGACTCGATACAAATATAGATTTGGTTCGATATGGTATGACACAGACCAACTCATTCCATACCTAGATATGGAAGTGAATATGGACTCATACCAAATTTATCAGTTTGAGGCTTTCTACATACATCATAGTTCATGTGAGAAGTTCTAACGAAATGCTCCTAATATTATTATCAAGAACTAATCGTGCAATTAAGAACACTTATCGAATCCTTATTTAACCGATTGACTCGTGCATATGATCTTTTAAAAACCTTTATGTATCATTTTTCCTCGGGTTTGAAGAAAAACAAGAGAGGCACTCATATATATAACGTGCTCTGACGCTCCCTACAAACAAGAACATACTACCCTTATCGTCGACTCTCTCTCAATAGCTATGTCAATACAATAGCCATACTGGTCTACCTATCTTATTGTATTAAACATTTATCTAAATGATTGTAAAAGTGTAGCAGAGATTGTAACCCACAAAATTAGTAGTAGTAGTGTATTTTGTGCTGATCGTGGTGGTTCAATCTCTTAATACCGTAACAGATCATCTACCTATTCAGATTCTTGTATGAAATTTTTTCGGTCGGACCATAAATACGATTGTGGAACTGATTAATATATGTACTTTTCAGCCCTGGTTTCTTTGCTCCATACAATGACTTCTTAGTGGAACCTTTGAACTTCGACACTATCTTACGTACTATGACAACTTGGGATGTTTGCTTCTATGCATTGTTGTCCATGTGCACACCACACCGGTAAAAGAAAAGGGTGGCAACTAGACAGGGAAACTCTGCAAGATCATCCCCCTACTTTAGGTAAGGTGTGGTGATCTCCACATCCAAAGATACAACAATTTGCAAAAAGCTCTCTTCTTTGTTGGGAAATCCAAATCGATGAAAAGCATGAAAAGGGTTCCAAGATTTACAACAGTTAGGCTCGACGTTGTAACTTGTAAGAATACACAGTACTAGCTAGCTAGTGTTTGACATAGCAAGATAATATAGATGGACTTGCTCAGTTACTCGAGTGTTAATTAAACGGTGGAATCAAATTGTAGACCACAGTGATTGTGTAGAGTCATAAACAAAATAGAGTTTCTATAAAATTTTATTATATAATATAGAAAGAATTGTGTAGAGTCTCACAAACTCGAAAAATCTAATTAAACTGCATGAATCACTACCTTACAAATTGTTTTACGAATATTACCGGTGTATACTTTCAACAAAAATAATTAATAATTTCAGTCTCACAACCGTTGAATTCAAACCAAGTCTTCTCTAATATTTGATAAAATTCATTTTTATGGCTGGGTGCGGATTTAATTTTTTGAAAACCGTATTGTGGTTGGGTGCGGGTTTTTATAGTTACTACCCGAAATTAACCAAACCGACCCGTGATGCTACATTATACATCAAAATCTTTCATTTTTTTAAAAAATATATTGCTCCTATACCAAATCTCTTTTGCTAAGTTCTACACATGGCATTAGTATATGTATTTATAATTGATAAATTATAAAGTCAATTATTTATTAAAGTGTTCACTCAAGTGAATATTATTTTGATTCTTTTATTTTTCTAGTATGATACACATTTTATTATGACGTTTTGTTATTTTATAAAATGTAATATATGTATTTTTTCAGATTAAATTATAAAATTTATATTTTTAGTAGAAATACAAATTTTATTCTTCTATAATGGATTTGATTTCCATCCAAACTGACCCAAACCATCACTCAAGAAATTCATAGGGTCTTAAATTAATGGGTGGATATGAATTTACTATAATTCAACCCGTGAATCATTGGTTGGATGGTTAAAATGCTCAAAACCTACCCAACTTATCCATGTACACTCCTAGTGATACATATCATAGTTAGTAAAATACGGTACAAGAAAGTTACGTATAAAATATGTACGGGTATTATACTTCACCTCTGAGTTAAAGTTACGTTTTATAGTACTTTAATAGGCATTAATATAAAATTTAATTATTTTAAAAATAAATAAAACAATACTAAAGTTAACAATTTAATTCATAAAATACGGATAATAAATGTGTTATACGGGTTTTATACGTGTTTAGTACGAGAGTTACCAAACGAACGAGGAAAAATAAAAAAGCTTGATAATAATATGGATACGGAAGTTTTAAACGGATAAAGTACGTACGGGGTATGGAGGTTTTGTTTGCTACAGCCAACAATCTGGGTCATTGCCTCATTGGCCCAAATTATAGAAACTGCTCAGCCCACATAATCGAGACCCGAGCTGCCGAAGTCGGCCCATACGCTTTCCAACCTAGGATTTCAGGACTCAGAATAATTACCAAACCGGGCCCGCTTAGGGGATACGTCAGTAGTTAGCACAGTCAGCTACCGAAGTGGGCCCCGCCGGAGCTGCTAGCCAATACTGTGCGCGAGCTGCTGCTACTTCCCAGAATCTTCCCTCTTCTCTTCTTCCTCCGCAAACAAAAAAATAATTCCCTCTGCCCCGGCAAATCTTGGCGAAGGGGTTAGCCAGACCTTTCTGGCAGATCAAAATAAAAACCTTGTCGACAAACCGATCTGCGGCAAGGTCGTCCTCCCGTGAAGCAGCGTTTCTAGGGCTCCGATTAGAACTCGTCGGAGGTTTCGGGGAATCGGCTGGGGGCGGCGGCGATGGGGATTGTCAGGACCGGGTTCAATTTCATGCTCGGTACGTTCTTCGGTATCTACATAGCTCAGAACTATAACGTGCCTAACATACAGAAGATGGCCAACACCGGGATGGCCATCGCCAAAAGCATCGAGGAGTCTAATAGGAAGCCCAAGAAGAGAGACGCCGAGGATTGAATTTGATTCTCTTTCCTTTTAGGATTTCGGTTTCGGTTATCACAGTGTTGTTTCCTTATTGCCTTGCGCCTTCGATTTGGCGATGCCATTTTTTGTTAGAGGATTGTTCAGGTCTTTTTCTCTCTTTTAAACCTTTATTTCTGACTTGCTTGAATATCCAACTTTGTCAATGGAAATCAGGGTGAATAAATGGAATTACTTTGCCCCTTTTCGTTCTTGCCATCTTTGGGAATTCCCAGTTCTACTTCAGAAGTCTCTTTGTGCTGTTTAGTGTGATAGTGGGTTGTACAGAAGCTTCTTCCTTGTGCTTTGTTAAGCTTGAGTTGCTTCAAGAATCGCAATGATAGTGTTGTAGCCGACTTCTCTGAAAAATGTAGTGTCAAGAGCTTATGGAGTTAGAAGCAAGTCATGTATCCTATGATTGTAATGCACCATTCATTGCATCTGTGGATGAAATTTAGTTGTGGTTTGTACTGTAAGCTCAAGTATCTTTCGGTTGTTAATCATGAATTTTCATGCCATTATCTTGCAGAAGGAACAAAGTGGGAAACATTTAACATTTGTAGAGTGTAAAGAATGTGCTGTCTGTCGGGTTTTAGTGTAAATGTGGACATATCTTGGCTTATACTACTATCTGCTGATCACTGTTTCCATAAACTTATGATCGTCAATTAATTCACGTTCAAGGAGAACCCTCAGTTTCTTAATTGCTGTGAGGCAGTCAAATATATTGGGTGGAGAGCGTGTGAATGGGAGGTAAGTTAGGCTTTAGTGATGCAGAATTCTCTGAAACAGGCAGTAGCCTATGAGTTCTTTGATTCTCTTGGCAGTTGGCTCGTCCATTCACTTGCTAGCTTATAGCTAATCAACTGGGTTGGTAATCCACAGTCTATGGTCTTTGGTATGAATAGCATTGATATTATTGTCTATGATATTTAGCTACAAAATATAGTGACTTGTCTCTGCAAACAGTTAGCAGTAGTAAGTAGCTGAGGCCTTTGACTTATTCCATAAAAAATAGATGAAAATCTCATCTACAAGATAACATAGCCTATCTTAGCTGCTTAAGGTGCACTGTATTTCAGCTGATGGTTAGGTACTTGTGCCTGTCTCCTGCATTGACTGAAGCTGTATCAGCATTGTTGGATGAGGAGCTACAGCCAGAGGTTTGATTACTTAGTGCAATGAGCGCCAGTCCGCAATGGTTGTAATTTTGTCGGAGTACACAATGGATAGTGAACTTTGGTCAAGAAGTTCCACTATCTCTTCCATCTGGCCGAGGAGGTAGACTGCTTCCCTTACACTTGCTTTTTTCTCTTCAATTGTGCTTTTCAAACACTTACCGAATACAAATGGTCTCAAGTTAGTGAGACTAGCTGCCAATATGTCGGAGATCAGCACAACTAGTGTTCCAAATAAGCTTTCCTCTGAAGTGCTGCTGTTGTGGTGATAAATGTGCAGAATTGTGTTGCTTATTCTGTACATGGAATTAGCTGCCAATGCCTCAGCAGGCCATTCTGAAGGGCTAACTTTTGGGCATCGTGTTAGATATGTGTTCTTAAAGTTTGCAAGCCTTTCCTTTCCAGCTTCAACAAGCCGTTCTAGTACATCTCTTGTGCCTTTTGATTTCAGAGATAGTTGGTGAAGATCCAAATCTAACCATTTGTGGTAAATGTTGACCCCTGACCACACATGATATGCTGCTCTTCTTATGTTTGGCAGCTCTTCTTTCCCATCCTCGTATTCTTCTATGAGTTTGACATACACAAGTCCCTCATGTACACTGCGTATCAAGTGTTTAACCGAACAACTACTGACATTTGGGAGTGAAACTGCAATCGCTGTTAAAGTAACTATAGGAAGAGACCAAGATTGTGGAGGTTCTTCACCTTCCAGGCTGCAGACTTGTTCGGAGTCGAATTCTGCTACTCCCTTGAATCCTTCCGTAAAGGTTGCCATTTTTAACAGGTCTGTGAGGTGTTTTGGCTGTTTCTTTTTCCCCTTCCGCATCCAATGATCTGTGGCAGTACAATTCTTCCTCATTGTCACTTCCACTAGTTCTTCCTCACCTTCAAGATGCAAAGCAAAGTGGCTTAGATCTATTTTATTGGTCTCAAGTCCTTGATCAACTGAAGTGCCATTACTTGGTAACAACCTCTTCAACTTGCAGCAGGAATCATAGACCCTAACAATTCTGCACACGCATAAGATGCAGATGAATTGAACCAATTTGCATGCCATCACGATTCCAATTTGTGCTTGAATACAAGTGTCCAAGAAGCTGCGCTTTGCTTTATATGCAAGTTTTCGGAGTTGCTGGCTTTCTATGTGTATGAATGGACACTCTTTGATCTCCATCAAGCACTGAATCCAGTACTTCTCCACTTTAAAATGTGTTCCTCTGTTACTTTTCTTCCCATTTTTTGGTAACCTGTAAAACACTGATGTGAACCATCTGACTGCTGGGGCAACAGTACCGACCCCAACTGCTACAGTATGTGCAATCAAAACTAAAGTGGTTGACCACTTGTAGTCAGACTCCCCTACACAAAACTTGAAGGACCCTGGCATGTAAAATGAGCGCAACATGGCATCTGCAAGAACTGTGGCGCTAAGGAGACACAGTGCACCTGACGCAGTAGAAGTAACTGAACGGGCCATTACAAATTGAGGGTTGCTGGTATGTGCCATTATCCAGAACTTCATCAGGTCTTCTTTCAACTCCCCTGGTGTTCTTGTGTTTATATCCTTCAACCCTTCTTGCATAGTCATGTCACATTTCTTCTTGTACTTGAACTCTAATTCCGTCTTTGTTGTTACCACAGCTAAAGCTGAGGAGCCCAAGATCATGAGCATGACAAGCATAAGAGACATCACGACAACATGCTCCCACCAGCAAATATAGATCACCCCCGTGCCCAGTTGGATGGCAATGTTGACAAAAACAGCGACCACCAGTATAGCGAAGGCCATGATATTCATCATGATTTCCTTGTTCTTCGCTGTTCCTAGTGATGGCATCGAGTTTGCAATTGTCACGCTAAGCAACACGGCACTGCTGAGCTTGGAGAGCTGGTCGACTCGGCTGGGCATGGGGGTGTTGAGATCCACTGAGAACTTGACTGCTACTGCTATTATGGTGAGTGAAGTGGCGTTGATGGAAAAGAACCGACTAGGGAACCAGAATTTTCTGTGACGAATACCATGGATGAGGTCAGCAGCCATGGCAACTGCACAGACTAGAGATGCTGCTGCTACAAAGAGTCCAATCCATGGTAGAGGTTGAGTGTACTTTTCTTCATTCAGGTTCCCATCAGCACTGCAACCCACCATTTGAGGCAAAATTTTTGCTACTGGGTCAAGTTTTCCTGAAGCTTATAGGAAAGATAAAGTACTTGGTTTTCGTGGGTCAATGGTTAATTGTAGAAGATGAAAGCCTTTCTGGAATGAAGCTGGAAAATGTTTGATTTATCAAACCCAAGTGAATGATCTAGAATTTGTTTGGTTTAGACCAAAATTCAAAGGCAGAGAGGAACCCAGGCGACTCGGGGTTCATAGAATCATACAATGATTGACCGTTATATTGGAAAAAATTAGATGAAGGATATCCGAATTCTTTCGAGGCCTACTGATTGTTGTCGTATAAAGAAACATCGGGTCCCAACAAATGATGACGATTGAGGTGTTGATCATATCAGCTCGAGTGTATAGAGGTTGCAGATTCCAGTGTATTCTTCTCATTCAAAGTCTGTAGTGTTGAATCTTGACCCTAGACTCTTTGGCAGGTGGGCCCAGAGTGCCATTCATTGTTGAGGCAATGACAAACTGATTTTCTAGTAATCTGAGTACCCTGAGGTGAGCTTTCTTCTTCTTCTTCTTCTTCTTCTTCTTCTTCTTCTTCTTCTTCCGATTGCCAAGTTTTTGTAGCTTTTGGTGGTTCATTTTTCATGGTTAGGGCAGGGTTCCTTCGTGGTGCTAGTGGTTTTATGTTATTATATTATTATGATCTTTTACCAAGATCAATTCAGTTCAAATAAGTTTAGTGACAAATAAGTGAATGACTTCCCTGTTCATTGTGATTGTGCTGTTGCAATATCATTGTGTTCCGCAATCTGCAGGTCGGTGGCAACTGAGATTCAGTGCCTGATTTTATGTGAGTTATGTGCAAATAGGAGTGGGTAAGTAATCAAGGACTCACAGTTATGATCAGCTAGATGTCGACTCTCCGTGAAAAAGCTGTTGAAATTAGTCGCGTATATGAAAGCAAGATGTATAATATACGTTTTAGTCAGAATTCTTATAAGCATAGGAATTTTTCAGCTTTCCCATTTCTTATCTGTTTTGCTTTAGTGATGAGATGCTGATTGTGCCAGGCATTAGTATGATGAACTTTGACGGGCAATATTTACATAGTTGATTGTTATCATACACTTTGATAAGCAATATTACATAATTGTCCATGATTTGCAGCCGCTACAAAATTTAGGTTCTTACATCGAAATATTACTCTGTATATGCACAAAGTTACCAGTAGCAAGTAGTTTCAGTCGATCGCTAAATATGTATCTCCCACATTGAACAAATCGGCATCGTCCAGTGCTGGATGATCAATGATTGCCAGAGGTTTACTCGCTTTGTGTAAGGAATGCCAGTCACCGACGCTACTGATTTTGTCACAGTAAACAACGGACAGTGTACTTTTGTCAAGAAGCTTCACTATCTCTTCCGTCTCGCCTAGTAGGTACACTGCTTCCCTCACACTAACTTTCCTCTCTTCAATTGTGCTCTTCAAACACTTGCAGAATATCACTGGCCTCAAATTAGTTAGGCAAGCTGCCAATATATCGGAGATCAGCACGCTGAGTGTTGCAAACAACCTCTCCCCTGAACTGGTGCTGTCCCTGTGATGATTCTGCAGAATCGTGCTGCTTATTCTGTACATGGAATTAGCCGCCAGTGCCTTGGCGTGCCACTCCGAGGGGGTTTCCCTCGGACATTGACTTGGATAAGATTTCCTAAACTCTGTTAGCTTGTTCTTCCCAGTTTCTGCCAGCCCTTCCAGTACTTCTTTTGTGGTTTCTGATTTCAGGGACAGTTCATTCAGATCCACGCCACACCATTTATGGTAGATGTCGACACCTGCCCACACATGAAATGCCGCTCTTATCACGTTACTAAGCTCTTCTCTTCCATCCTGGTGCTCTTCCACGAGCCTGACATACACGAGGCCCTCATGGACGCTGCGTATCAATTGGTTAGCCGAATGAGTGTCCACATTCGGAAGCGCAACTGCAATTGCTGTCAGAGTCACTATAGGGAGAGACCAACAATGGGGAGGCTCATTACATTCCAAGCTGCAAACTTGTTCGCAGTCGAATTCCCTCACACCTTTAAATCCTTCTGCGAAGCTTGCTCTCCTCAACAGGTTAGTAAGATGTTTCGGCTTTCTCTTTCTCCCCTTTTGCAACCAGTGAGCTGTAGCAGTACAATTCTTCCTCATTGTCATTTCCACTAGCTCGTCCTCGCCCTCTAGATGCAGAACGAACCGGCTCAAATCAATTTTGTTTTCGTCCTTCGTTCTCCTCTCGATTCCTGGTTCAACCGAAATGCTATTTCTTGGTAACAAACTCTTCAACTTGCTGCAGGAATCACAGACATAGACAATCCTTCCCGCGCAGAAGATGGAGATGAACTGAATCAACTTGCACACCATTACTATCCCGATTTGAGCTCCAATGCACGTATCGAAGAATCTGCGCTTGGCATCATGAGCAACCTTCCTAAGCTGCTTGCTTTCAATCTGTATAAACGGACACTCTTTGAACTCCACCAACAACTGAATCCAGTACTTCTCCACTCTGAAATACCCTCCTCCTCCATTGTTGCTCTTCTTCTTCCCATTTCTCGGGCACCTGAAGGACACCGCAGTGAACCATCTCACAGCCGGAGCAACCGTACCAACTACCACTGCCACCGTCTGCGATATGAGAACTAAAGTCGTCGACCATTTGTAGTCAGACTCCCCTGCACAGAACTCAAACGACCAGGGCGTGAAAAACGACCTCAACATCGCCTCTCCCAGAACTGCGGCGCCGAGAAGACACAGCGCGCCGGAAGCCGTACACGTCACTGAACGGCCCATCACAAACTGGGGGCTACTGGTATGCGCCATGATCCAGAACTTCATCAGGTCCTCTTTGAGTTCCTCTGGCGTTCTTCTGTTCATATCTTTGGACCCTTCTTGCATAGCCATGTCGCATCTTTTCTTGTACTTGAACTCCAACTCTGTCTTCGTCGTAGGCACGGCGAGAGCGGAGAAGCCTAGTATGATCAGCATAAGAAGCATCAACCCCATCACGGCAACGTGCTCCCTCCAGCAGATGTAGATCACTCCCGTGATCAACTGGATGGCGATGTTGACAAATACCGTGATGACCAAGATCGCGAAGGCGATGATGTTCATCATGATTTCTTTGTTGGTGACCGTGCCGAGGGACGGCATGGAGTTTGCGATGACCACGCAGAGCAGGACTCCGCTGCTGAGCTTGGTGAGCTGGTCGACTCGGCTGGGCATGGGAGTGTTGAGGTCGACGGAGAATTTGACCGCTACTGTGATGATGGTGAGAGAAGTGGCGTTGATGGAGAAGAACTTGGTGGGGAACCAGAACCTCCTGTTGCGGATGCCGTGGATGAGGTCGGCTGCCATGGCGATTGCGCATGCGAGGGACGCTGCTGCTACGTAGAGCCCGATCCACGGGAGGGGACGTGTGTACATCTCCTCATTCAGGTTCCCGTCAGCACTGCAACCCACCATCTGAGATTTGATGAAAGCTCTGCTTTTTTTGTTTTTGTTTTTCTGTCTGTCTTTGGAGGGTTAATGGTCAACCGTAGCTGAAGAAGATGAGTTGATTCAAGGCTTCACATTTATGAGACCATGTGAGAGATTTGTGGACATGCTTGGTTTGAACATAAAAGTCAAAGGGCAGGAGGGCCATGGTGAGTGGTGACTCTTTCTCTTGAAATTTACTGCAAACAGTAGTCGGTGCACAGCACAGGCAGAGGATTGAATGGAGCAGGTAGTATTTGGTGACGACCAAGGAATTGAAGAAAAGTAAAGCAGACAGACCAGAATTTTCCTACTGAATTGAATGGATTTATGCAAGGAAGCCGAAAGGTCGCAACACTACAAATGATGACGCGATTGATGGCATCATCAAGCTGCAAATCTCACTCAAAGCTTTGTTGAATGTTGATCAGAGACTGGGAGTGTTGTCACGTTGAGTTCTTCATCCAGTCTCCAGGATTCACAATTTCTCGCCGGCTTTGGTGCTTCAGAATAGTTTCGATGCTCGCTAAGGGTATCATTTTTCCCCCCGCGAATCCCACTGCTAAGAATAATAATAATTTGGGTTAATGCCACATTTGGTCACCGGAATTACAAAATCGTGTTATGTTTAGTCACTAGAAAAATTAATATCAAATTTGGTCACTTGAATTACTAAAACAAGTCATGTTTAGTCACTCTCTGTTAGTTTCCGTTCAAATCTGTTAATGAAGTCCGTTATTTGCTGACGTGGCTAACGGGAGCACCTAGTCAGCGCCATTTTGAGCCAAAAATGATCAAACCCGACCCGCCACATCACACACCCAACTCAACCCATTAACCCAACCCGACCCAGAAGCACCGCAGAACCCAGCACAACATTATCACTGGAACAAAAACCCCATCCTAAATCCCTAATCACACTTTCCAAAACTCCAGATCTAACCGTCCGTATATACGAAAAATTGGAAGGCGACGATGGAGGAAGATCGGCAAATTGTTGGGAATTCTCAACGACGGTAGAGGAAGAATGCTAGTGCAGAGAGCATTCATAGAGTGACGATCCTGATGGAGATGGCAATCGCCACTTTCTTGACAGGCTTAGCGGGTTGGACCTGCGTGGCCGTGGGGAGTGGAACGGTGGCATTTGCAGAGGAGCTCGGTGGTGTGGTTTGGTTTGATCCAGGAAAGGTGGAGTTTGGACTTCGGGGAAGAAGGGCTCGTCTGGGTCCGGGGAAGTGGACGAGTCGGCCGGTGAGGGTTGGGAATATAGGTGTCAATCGGGCGGGTACAGGTCGGGTTCAATCGGGTTGCGGGTTCATCGATTCGGGTTCAATTGAGTTGGGGTTCAATCGGGTTACGGGTTAGTCGGGTTGCGGGTTCATTGGGTTTCGGGTCGGGCGGGTTGCGGGTGTTCGGGACAACACATCGAGTTACTTACTGCTTACTTGCTACCAACTTACACATTTTATTACACTAATTTAAAATATTTTCACAATTTTTAACCAACTTATTTCTACCTCATATAGTATATACTTAATAAAAAAAACTAGCCAAAATGTTGAATCAATTTGTATGATTTGCAAACTTGTCATGTAATTAATCAAATTTGGTAAAGTGCACTAGCTAATAGGGGTGGGCGTTCGGTCGGTTCGATTCAAACCGAACCGAGCCAGGATATGCCGATTTTCCGAAGTCCCCAATGCCCCAACCGAATTCGAACCGATTTGTAATTCGGTTCGGTTCGACCGAACCGAATTACAACTCGGTTCGGCTCGGTTCGAAAGGCCTGAACCGAATTGCTACTGCTGCCCTACTGCCCCCCGTTTTTGCCTGCTACCCATTATAAACCACTGCACTTTCTCTCTCTCCCATACACCCCCAAACCCTCATGTCTCTCCATTTCTCACTCTCTCTCCCCCCCTCCAACAAACGCAATCGATGTAGATCAGAAAGCGACGGTGCTGCGGTGAAAAATCCTCCGTCTCGTGACTCATCGGTGAGCAGAAACAGCAGGCTGCGACGGCGGTATCTCCTCCGACTCGCGACTCGGCGGCGAGCAGAAAGCAGCGGTGGTATCTACTCCGTCTCGTGACTCAGCGGCGAGCAGAAACAGCGGGCTGCGACGGCGGTACCTCCTCTGACTCGCGACTCGGCGGCGAACAGAAAGCTGCGGTGGTATCTCCTTCGTCTCACGACTCACCGGCAACCGCGATTGATGCAGAAGCTAGAATACAACGCAGCGGCAGGCGGGTACGACGATTGAATGTTAGAGGTCAGTATGGTTGTAGATCCAAGCATGCATGTCGTTTTTCTGTTTGATTTTCACCTTCGAGTTTCAGTAGCATCGTCGCTCTCTTCGATTCAGGAGTAGAAAGCTTGGATTTTGGAGAAGAAAGATCTGATTTTCAATATTGATTTTGATGCATTTGGGGTTTTATATTTGGATTTGGGTTTTTTTTATCTCACGGAGGAGAAGGGAGCGGAGAGAGGGGAAATGGCATCGAAATCTAGTGGCCGGCGAGGAGGAGTTGGCGGCAAAGCCAGCGGATGAGAGGAGGATCCGGCGGACGGCGGTGATGATGGTCGTTGGCGGCTTGGGTCAAGGATTTGGTGTTCTTTGTTAGGGTTAGGTTAGCAGTAGGGAGGGAGAAGTTGTGGGCTTAAGGGATTAATTTTGGGCTTTGTTTGATTTGGGCTGTGAGGGATTTGTGTTTGATTTGGGCTGTGAAAGAATTGGGCTTTGTGAGAGGTTGAGTGGTCAGTTGGGTTGTGATAATGTGGGTTAAATTTTTTGTTCGGTTTCTCGGTTCGGTTGTTCGGAATTCGGTTTCCGAAACAAAGGGTTTTGGCTTCCGAATTCCGAACCGAACAACAATAATTCGGTTTCGGTTCGGTCTAATTCGGTTTCGATCCGGTTCGGTTCGGGTTTACCGAACCGGATGCCCACCCCTACTAGCTAATAGTAATGGTGATATCAACATTTGCAACCAATAGACACTATAGCAAACCAAATAAAACACCACTCTAAAAACGAACAAGAAAAACACTTTTTCTTATCTCAACATTTTTAGGCGACAATATAGATTAATCCAAACGAAAATTTAGCGGCAATATAGATCAATTAATAATCCTAATTTGTGAATTTTTTTTGCAATTCGTTGTCATTTAATAATCCTAATTTTTATCTATATGCGAAACCTAGACAATGCACAAATATTATAAACAACAGTTTACGAGAGATGGAAATCAGACTTAATAATAGAGGAATTGAAACGTTGGTGGGTCGAATTGGGGGGCATTTTCCCTCATTAGATTTTCATTTTGGTATAGACAAATTATAGCGGGGAAGCAAATGGGATGAACGAAAAGTGGGGAGGAAAACATTGGAGAAGTGAAAAGTTGGGATGAAGATATCAAAATGAGAGGGGGAAGTTTCCTACCTAAATGTGGCGGGAGAATTAGTGAGTTAGGTTAAGTTTCCAACCTAAATGTAAAATAATATGCATTTGAGATAGGATAACTCTTTGGACTTTGCTACGGTGACATGCATGTCACGGTGACATGCACTTTTCGGTCGACCTCATATAGGATCAGGTCGACCTAATCTGTTGTTTCAGTGTAAAAACAGTTTCATGGTGCCTACTTTGGAGATTCATATCTTACAATTGGCTTGATGGAAATTGGAGATTAAAGGCTTGTTTTGAAGCTGAAGTGTCCGTCTACACATTAAAGTACTTGGGAGCTCAATAGAAAGTCCAGAAGACCATTTTTGAACCTGACCAAAAGGCTATGCCAAAACTGGGAAACTGCCTGAAAATGGCTGAGTCTGGCAACGTGTTTGTCAAGCCTACTTTGGAGCTCAATTTGAGAAGCATGGATGCGAGTCAAGTCCAGGGGCCTCTACCACGTTAAATTAAGTATTTTTTATTCAAAGGCAAGGCATTGGATGAAAGATTGAATATCTTTATGACTTCAAACAAAAGGCTCGAAGTTGCTACGAATGCTATTTTTCTGGCAGCTTGCTTGTGCTCGAAGTCTGCCAGAAAAACAGCCTTCGTAGCAACTTCGACCCTTTTGTTTGAAGCCTTACAGATATCCACCCAATGCCTTGAATTTGTATAAAAACATACCTAATTTAATGTGGTAGATGCTCCTGGACTCGACTCGCATTCATGCTTCTCGAATTGAGCTCCAAAATAGGCTTCACAAACACGTTTCCAGACTTAAGCCATTTCTAGGCAGTTTCCCAGTTTTGGCATAGCCTTTTGATGAGGTTCAAAAATGGTCTTCTAGACTTCGTATCGAGCTCTCAATCACTTCAATATGTAGAGGGACACCCCAGCTTCAAAACAAGTCATTAGTCTTCAATTTCCATTTAGCCAATTGTATGATATGAATATCCAAAGTAGGCACCATGAACTGTTTTTACACTGAAACAACAGATTAGGTCGACCTGATCCTATATGAAGTCGACCGAATCCTAAATGAGGTCGACCAGATCCTATATGAGGTCGACCGAATTCTAAATGAGGTCGACCTAATCCTAACTGAGGTCGACCGGAAAGGGCAAGTCACCGTGACATGCATGTCACCGTAGGCACACCCTAACTCTTTACATGCCTATAAGCTATGGTAAGTTTTGTTATAAAGTATAGACAATATTTTAGTCTCTCGTTTGCTTCATGGACTTCGTCATGGATTTGGTACTAAAAAACCAAGTATCATAGACTTTGTACGCAATCCGTCGTTTGCTTGATGGATTTAGTAGGAATAAATCCGTGGGGTCCACAGACTTTGAGGGTCCAAATCTATGGACCCCACGGCTTGAAAATTCCATCCTTTTAGGTGGACTTTGTGTGAGGGTCTCAAGTCCATGATACCTATTTACTACTCTATCCTCACTTATTTTGTTAATGCCAACTCTGCCCTCTCTAATTTTCTTACTAGCCCGATCGACAGATACGGAAATACCAAAGAAAAAAGAAAGA